ATAAAGGTTATGTTAGGAAAATCAAAAGGGTTTAATGCTAGAACTGAGTGTATGTACATGTTTAGGAGACTTAACGGAAGTGTAAAAGTTTAATTTAATTTAATTTAAATATTCTGAAATCCTAATTGATCGAAAAAAATTTGCGGTCATGAAAATTAATTTAAATTATCAGATACTATTATGGTATTTTAAAATATTCAAAAATTTCATTCGAAAAATCGACTAACTTACCCGAATGAATGAAAAAATGAATAAACATAATTCCTAGAAATGCATTTGTAATAAATATTGTCAATTCACGAAATGTTTCTGATGGAATAGGAAATATAAATACAGCAGTGAAAATAAAAATCACTGAACCAACAAATTCTTGCCATCTACAGAGGAGCATATTCTTAAATATATTCGATGAGAATATAAATTCTTGATTAAATCAGATTTAATCAATTCTTGATCAGAAATCTTTAACCTATATCTATTTATCTATAACCTATATCTTTTTAAACAATGAGAAATGGAAAGCTGAGAAATCGTATGGAATGGAAAATATCCACTAAAAAATTTAATAAAAAATCTGAATATGAAACTGGGATGATGCTGATGAGCCACTTATAATTTTATCTCCAAATAATCTCTATCAAAAATTAGTAGTCTTAAAAAATTTTATTGAATATTCTAGTCTAGCAATTAAATTTATTGGAAACGAACTTTGTCAGAGCGGAACTGATCAATGCAAACCACAAATAAATATTAAATTACCGGAATCATTTTATCAGTTTACATTCATTTAGAAATACAAGAAATGCAAATAAATATTTCCAGCGTACTTGTACTTTAGGATTCTCAGAAAAAAATTCGCTTTGGAAATAATCGAACAAACATTTTTTTGCAAAATTACTAGAAGAAAGTACAAAAAAAACGCAAATTATCATATGAACTTAATTTTGCCTCATTTAAATTCTTCCTGAAGATAATGATGTTGACAAATATCAAGAATATCAGAGTGTATTTTCTTTGCAAGAATTAAATTGTTGGAACTGAATTGAAATTTAATGAATCTCAATTTTTTCAAATTGGCTAAATGGCCCATATCCCAGAAATACCAAATTTTTGCAACATTTTTTTAAAAATCATTCTCACTTTCATATTACGGCATATTTTCTTTGCGTTACATTTTAAGTTTCCTGAATTTTTTATGCTATTATTTGCATTTTTTTTCTAGAAAAAAGATATTCACAACTTTTTTGATATTTATAACAATAAATAGGGTTTTAGCTGTGAAGTAGGCAGTGTTTTATCTCTCATCGCTTATTTTGATCGTTATAATCCTCACTAATGGCTTATAAATATTTTTAATTGGATCCAAGACAAAATATAGAAATTATTGCATTAGTCTGTAGAAGATTTAACCTGGAAAAGCTGACGAGTGGTTTTAGCGATTTTCTTCAACTTTGAGGATTTTCTGAGCCTATAAGTGTCAATCCAATAAATCTGATAAGAACAACAAATATTAGTCTATGTCACAAAAAAAATTCCATCAATCCCAGACTTTTTGCAAAAAAATGTGCCATTATTCCCGTGAAATCCCGTGAAAGAAATAATGGATATCAGATTGATTGGATAACTTCAATTACTTGAAATACGTAAGAATTCGATGATAATAATCAGCATTTTAGATTTATATATTTGAGACTAATGCAATATTCTCTAAGTATTGATTGTAGCCGACTTGATTGTGCAATGAATGACGTACCAGATTTAGATAAAAATTTTGATAAAACCAAAAGAAAAACGATTAATCAATTGTAAGAGGATCTATCACTATCCGCCAATGAAATAATCATGCTAGTACAGTTCAATTCACGCTATACAAGTCATGATTGCACTACTTAACAAGCAAAAAAAGAAAATATATAGCAAGATGTCAGAAGCCCGACAAGTATAGTTTTCGTTTTCTTCGCGGATGGAATCTCATTTATAAAAATGAAATCTGGATGGAATTTAAGTGAAAGTGAAATGGAAAACAGGATTAAAAATAGCAATGATATGGCTGATCAGCAATATTATTAATTTTGCAAAATTTCCCTGTCAAGGCCCTTTAAAAATGTCAATTGACCATGCAAAAGCAAATGGAGAAATCTCATCAGTTAGTTTGTGCCACTATAAATGAAATTTGAAAAAAGAAATTCACAAGTTCAGAAGTTTGAGGAAAGGAGGAAAGGTTAGCTCAATATTAGAAAGAAAAAATGCAAAATATCACTTTTTCGCGAAGTTTTGCTATTCATGCTATACCATTAAGAACGAAAAAAGAGGCTATAAAATTATATTCTATTCATTTAATTCTTAGAGCATTCTAATCTGTATAGAATAATAATAGGTCAATCAACTTCCATCACTTTATACAGAATATTTAATATTTCAATGAGCATGGCTTTGACCGTCCTAACTAATCGATCATGATTTATACTGTATAAGAAATACTCATTCTAGTTAAGTTATAGTGGCATAGAATATTGTTTTTGACAAATTGATAACAAAATTAAAGATAAGCTTCTTTATCAAGGATGGAAAAAATATTCGATATTTATTTAAGTCAATTTAAATCGAAAACAGTCTAATTGAATACCATCCATACATTAAATAGGATATCATAAAACTCATCAATATTTTTAGATTTAGGACTAATCGTTATGAATGGATTTATTATTGATGCATTTTTATGGATCATCAAATTATTAAGCGATCTAAACGGTCAAAAGGTTATCTGTGTATCGCTTTTAAGATGACCGATTATCTATTGAAAAATGGAAGCAAGGATCACATAAACAGCGAAATTTACAAAAAAATTTAAAAGTAGACAGGAAGGTATGGATTATAAAAGACAACATTTTCTTGAAGAGGAGATAGAGAATCTTTGTGATTCGAATGACCTTGCTCACAATCATTTCCTAGATAGCAATTTTATTTATGAATATTTTAATGAAATATTCTTGCTACGGTCATATTTACGATTTTTCTCTATCAAAATTCCCTATTTTATGCTCTAAATTAAACTAAAAGGATGTGATTTTTATTTCACTAGCACAATGCAGCAAATCTGTCGCAACCTATCGATGAGAACCTTTAAACTTATCATGAGGTGGTACCAGCAATATGTCAGCAATTACTATATCGTTAATCTCAATCCAGGGGAAATACATGAATTTTTTATTTCTAAGGAATACCTATTAAAAATAAAATCGTTGGGCATTGTAACATGAAGTTATTCCATCGAGGGTTCTTTAATATATATATATATGTATATAAAATTATACATATATAGTTCTAATTATAGTTCTTTTATGTATATATATATATATATATATATATAAAAGAATTTATTTAATAAGGGAATGATAGCAATAAAATTAGCAACAAATCTGGACATTTTAGGGAAAATATAGGTTGAAGTCTTTTTCAACCATAGCCACTATTGAGCAGCTAAATTTTTTATATTATTATTTCATTAGATTTGAGAAAGTTGCATTGCTATGTTTAGTTATTTTTTTAGTTATTTTTAGTGAAAATGGACTGGATGGCTTAGTACCTTTTTACTAAGATCTTGAAGCGTTGATACTGGATTTTTACTCGCGATAAGGATAAATCTGTCTTTTGAATAGTGATGCTACCTATCTATCTATTCCTCTATAAACGAATAACTTTCCGAGAAAATTTGTCTAGCGAAACGAATCTAACCAGAAAGGTGGACACTACTAGAAAAAAGAAAGTAAACTCTTGTCATATTCCATGAATGGTAGTGGCAATGATAGACAAAAGAAAGCCATTAAAAAAAGCCTATTTTATTAGGAAAAATAAAAATTTTTTACTGAGGAAAAACTTTCACAACCAGTTCTTTGTGCCTATCTTTATATATATATATATATAACATAGAGGATTTTACAGCATAATTAAGATCAAAAATCATATAAAATAATCTGAATATATTAACCATGCTTGGTTCAAATAATTAACTACACTCATTATTTCAGGTTAGATTCGCTTTATGGGCTTTTAATAAGTTGAAAAAATTTTGAGGAGCCAAAGAAACTTTTGAAAAAATGATGTTATACTGAAATTGAAATCTAAAATAGCCTCCAGATGAAAAATTTTAGAGAATGTTTTGGTTAAAATCATTAAAAGCAATGTATTGGCCTAAGCAATACAGCCTATTTAAAGCAATGAAAAAAATTAAAATAAAGCTTGTGGCTAATGGTAAAAAAAGAACATTATGTCCATCTTCTTTAATAGTATTTCGGTTTGGCTTACACCACTTTGTGTTCCAGTTTCGAACCCTGTGGAGTCATAGAACCGCTGGAAATAGAACAAGTGGGTTTTCCAACATTATCAAGATTAAAGTGACTTATCTGCTTAACGTCGGATTTACCGATATAAATTATATTACAGAAAATAAATGAAGAAAATGTATAGAAATTAGCTATTAAAAAGAAATTTTGATTATTTAAAAAGAGAATTTTTTAAAATAAAGATAAAATTTAAAGTAGAAATTTGGCGAATGATAGTAATGGACGTCATGAAGGAAAAGTGAAAAGTTGCACTAAAGATTAGTGGGACTGGCTGTGGAAAAATGAACCTTGGCCTCGATACCGGTGTTAAGGCATCCGTTACAAGGTTAGCATTTGGGAAAACCCCGAGTTGAAGGACTTTTTCAGGGGACTTGTTATGTTTATTATTCGATTTTCGCTATCATCTATCGCTGTCATTTTCAAGAACCTTGACCTGTATAATTTTATATCGTCCAGTCACCAATGTTGTTTGGCTGTCACTTGGTTGTGACACGTGAGGATTGTTGAAAAGTAGTAGAAAACCGGTGAGATACAGAGACAGGTACGCATATAGAAAGAGAATGTGACGGAACGGTTAAAAACGAATGCATTGAGCCCTCCCCCAGAAGATGAGCGAGTTGACCTACCATCACAAGGTGGAGCGGTGCGCAGCGTGAGATGGTCGGAGTAGAAACGACCTTGAAGTTAGACGACCTCAGCTGCAAGCCGCAAATCGAGTTCGAGAACTGTCCTGTTTGCGGCGATCGTGTTTCTGGCTATCACTATGGCCTTCTTACGTGTGAATCATGCAAGGTATATTCAATGAATTTCTTTCTGTTACATCACAGTAATTGACTACCATAATTTCACTATTGAAACTTCATTACTAAATAACCAATTATTTACTAATACTTTAAATTCAATTTTGCCTATTTCACTTATGGTACCGCATTTCCATTTGTAGCAAAGAAACTAAAACTAACTTCTTCGCTATGATCAATAAATCTAAATAAATAATAAATCTAATTTATAAGGCATGATAAAGTTCGATCAGATTTGATCTGCTTTTTCATATACGATAAGCAACATGCGTACCAGAAAATATGAATGATGGTACCATTCAACTACGGCACATAGAATTTTTTTCTTACCCATAATATTCAAAAGGGACCAATCAGCATGGCACTAATGAAAATGCCATAAATATTTAAACAATTATATATATTTTATTTTAGAAATTTGCTAAGCTTAAAACATAATATTAAGGATTTAAGATTTGAAAAAATGGAGATGTTTTATTAAAGAGATTCTAAATGAGTTTATCCCCAAATTTAAGTTTCTAAGTCAAACAATCAAAGCCTTGAAAAGATCTTCACTCAGAATAATGGCTTCTATATAAATATCGACTTCCACAAGAGTTCCAACTTGCTAAATTTTGAAAATTTTTTCGATCAATTAATTTTGTTATTCGAAATTGTTTAATATTTTTATTCGAATTTTTATGAAACTGCAGTAGCAAAAAATGTTTGAATGATATTTTTTTATTATATCTAGCTTTGAAATAATATTTTTATGCGATTAATTTTTGGTCATGGAAACTACTGAAGCCAATTGGCGATCATCTCTATACTTTAGAAATTACGAAATGCCTTAGAAATTATGAAAGAAATCAAAAAAAATGTCTAACGTAAATTTATTGTATACATCTGCTCAGTGACCACTGTTATGCAAAATTTCGTTGAAAATCGGAGAAATATGACTTAAATCACATGCAAATGAATATAGAAAATTTATCCTTAAATTTACCTTTAATTGAAACGAACTAAATTTTAATTCAGAAGCCCATAAGTAGCTCTTTAATTTAAGGGAATTTTCAGGGCTTTTTCAAAAGAACAGTTCAAAATAAAAAGGTAAGAATTCTTGAATTTTATTTCCATATTATAGGGCGGATAAAAGACCACTGGGCAAAGTTTAAGTATGCTCTTTACTTATTGTGAAACGAGATCTCTTTCGAAATTCGGCTCACTTTGCAGCTATTGCTTTATAAAATAACTGTTCCTTGTTTTTATTACTATTTGGAGTAGCAGATATGTTGATTTATTATTATAAATACAGTAGCTCCTAATCTTCATCAGCAAAGTGTCTTTGATCATAGCTCCAGCTTATCGTTTTACCAATGGATATGCATATCTGATTATGCATATTACAATGGCCAGTACTGTAATTAACAATTATACGGTATCTTAGAATGATCAACAATTAACGATGTTCCATTAGTTTTTTATGGAGATATTTGTTTTAGTCATATCAGTGTTCAGCTGACCAAAATTGTGCAGTAGACAAATCGTGCAGGAAACGCTGCCCGCATTGCCGATTTCAAAAATGCATACAACGAGGAATGAAAGTTGAAGGTAAGTATATTCTTATAACATCCAGTTTATTTTAAGAAATGTTCGTTAGTATAATGTAGATTTACATGGATTTGAGTTCCACAAAAAACTAGTTGCTTCGAATTTGATTCTTATTCATTAAATTCAATAATTTTATATTGGGAACGTATTTATTTTAACATCCGGATTTTACTTTTTTTGTGATTTCGAACTTTCTCGCATGAATTGGAATTTCTGAGATTACCATTGATTTTGAATTTTCCGACGACGAGCAGGATTCTAATTTACATGCGGTAAATCTTTGGCAGATCTATTGGATTGATGTTATAATATATGTTATACTTATCAGTATATTATATCCAAATCTCTTGTATAATTCCTTTCACTACACTTGTGTTTGCGTTTTTAGGAAATTTGTCGTTTTATGAGTAAAAAACTCAGAAAAAATTTATAATGCTTAAGAGGCTAAAAAAATTTCGCCGTTAGCGAATTATATTTTTTCCCTATTTGTAATTATTTGTTTACCACCATATTGATTGATGCAATTAATTATTTCTACAATTCATTTTTTCCCCGTTCCCTGTAATTAAATAAGCTTTTATTTTTCTCTACCTTCTTTATATTTATTTCATCCACTATCCACCTAAGAAATATCGTAATTTATTGAATTTGGAACGTTTTTATTAATCTTTTGAGCTCTTTGATTCAAATCTCGAGACATTCGGCATCTTCTTCTCTTGCCTCACATAATTAGTGGCGAGCCTGGCTCTGTCTCCCGATGTAATGCCATGTCTGAAAGAGATTCTGATTTATTCATCTTGAATTAAAGAGAATTTGATGTTGTTTGTTTTTTTTACCAATTGCATAATTTGGTCGAGAGAGTAATTCATACGAAAGTCCAATCAATTCCTAATAAGTTACAAATTAAGAAAAATGCAATAAAAAAAACCCATCAATCGATACTATTAACGAAAATTCAATTGAATTGTCAATTTTCTCTTGGTAAATCGAAATCATAAGAACAAAATTTAAAAAACTGAAAGAGGGAAAGGAATCTTTTCGACATTTCAATTTCAATTTAAAAAAAAAAGGAAAAGAAAGGATTTTAATATCTCTATAAAATATGTCATTATTAGTTTTTGAAACATTTCGTTCATCTCATCTTATATTTGTTTGAATAGATAGATTTTTATGTACAAAAATCGCTTAGGCAATAAACAGTAGGAAAAAGAAGAAGAAGAAGAAAGGACGAGGGAGAAAAAGAAGAGAAAACGGGGGTTTTTCATAGGAAAGCGTTGAATTAAAAAAAACCGGTCATTAACTGTATGACAGAAAGAACTAACGAATCCGTACACCACCACACTCAATTGGATAAAAATTTTTTTAGTGAGCTTTTTAAAGCAATAGCTATTACATTAGCCCAATAATTTCTTTGCACAAAATTCATTATCTGCTGATTTCATGATATAAATGTTATATGATTAGCGTTCACAATTTCTGGTCAAGCTAGCTCTCCTGCTTCTTAATCCTAAAAATTTTTGCCAGACAGTAACTTGGCGATATGAATATAGATGGCTGCTCGGATCACTCGGATTTTTTAATTTTGAATCAATTGCAGGAATATTATCGCTGGAAACAGAAGCCGAACTCTTGCTTGTTAACATGATAATTTAAGCTCTCTCGATTAGCTCTTACAAATACATTTAAGAAAAAATCAGCAACACTCCAGTTCTATTACCGTATTTCATTTTGTTACTTAACTAGTCATCTATGCAAATACGACCCATCGCAACCATACTGTATTAAGCAAACAGTGTTCTCATGTTAGTTGGTTGTGAGAATTTGCAATATCTTTTAATCTAAAATACATTTTTTGTTGGTTAAATGGGCTCGATATTTTATTGAAATAATACGTTATTATATAATACCCACTATTGTTTCATACAAGTCTGCACCTGGTAAATCTGTCATTAAAAGCGAGGCTCGGATGGTGCTGTGGATTCATTTATAATTTTTTTTAATGAAATAATTTCTTCCTAATTATCTTTCAAATCAGAAAAATTAAACGCTGCTAGAGGATTAAGAAAAAGCCGATCTAAAATTAATTTTCTTCCATAACAGTTTTTCGTAGGTTCCACTTAGGTAATTATGCATATTCAAAAAATAGTTGGTTAAAATTCATTGTCTTTATTTTAATTTTTCTTGCATCTTTATTTCGGTCGATTGACTTTGCCACTATTTAAAATAAAGCAAATGTCCTTGAAATTTTGTATCTAGATGTTCGCTTTGAAGGTATGTCTCGCCTTTCTTCTGAAAGAATCGCTTTATATATGCGATTAAAATCATTGAAAATAAAGTAAAGGATAACTGAAAAATCATTGAATCGATATCGGGACGAAAATAGTTTGAGAGAAATTTAATGGCTTACCTATCTTTTATATTTTTGTGAAATCATTCCATACCATTGAGTCGATTTGAACAAATATTCATGAAATCAACAAAATCGATTGGCCGTTGAAAGGTCATTAAGGCATAGCAATAATCGTATTAATTCCATCATCGTATAATTAAGTAATCCAAGATAGGTAAATTTGAAGAAATTTAGAAAGAAATCGATTATTAAGAAATATTCAGGCCAACGAACCTATATAGAATGGAGTGTATATAATATAATTCCATAAATATTTAATAAGTGCCGAAATTAGAATTAAAAATGAAATAGTTTTATTTTTCATAAATATTGCTTGCAAACCAATGCAATTAAAAATTCTGTACAAGATTTTTGCTAAAAAACTCGAGCTCAATTTCCTAAATCTCTAAAAATTGCTAAAATTGATTTAGAGAATATGTAGAATGATATCCCAGTCTAGCTTCTAAAAATTTATTTCAATTATTTTAGTTGTTTTAGTGCTATTTTGATTAATTTTAATTTTAATCACTTGGAATAACGACTTTCTAAAATATTCAAAGAGTATTTTAGCTTTTATCTCGAATATGTTCGTGTTCTTCCTCTAATACCACATTTCTAGTTAACTGTCTTCGCTGGTTGAATTATTAGAATGGAAGTGAGACAAAGTGAGCTAACAGAATTTGCGAATAGAATTGTAAGGGTTTCTTCAGCACTTCTTGGATCTTCTTATTCGTGCCAACTATGAGTTCTGAACTCATATTCGAAATAATACATTAATCCTGGATCTTTTGTTCTATCTCAAATATGAAACAAATGCAGTTTTTAAAACATTTTTTTTGATGATAATAAGCAAAAAAAAGTGATCAGTTCTCTCCATTACCGTGTTCATGGCTATTTTCATGGCTATTACTACGAAGACAAATTTTACCGAAGATTCAATTGGAGAAGGAAATACAAATGAGAGCCTAGTACTACCCAGATTTTTAATGAGTAATTAAATGTAGTGCAGAATTCATTATGGTAATCTAAGCAATACTATGCTATACTAATGGTAGATATAAATTCTCAACCTAAGGTAATAGGATCATAATTTTAGACATTTTATAATTTATATCCTTTATATTTTTGTCTCTTTCCTTTTTTCTCAAAAAATTCGCCATCAAGAAATTATTTCTGGCAAATATATCGCAAAAAAGTTTCCATTCCTTACGACAAAATTTCTATAACTTTTTTCCAGCAAAAAAAATAATGAAAATACAAAAAATGCCGCTTTTCCGTTCTATTTTTTTCTGGCATTTTTGAACGAGGTAAGCAATAATCATAAAGAAACGAAAGAAACTTGTTTTTTGTTTTGGCAAAAAAAATTGTCTGTTTTTATGGCACCTTTGTTGGCATGTGAATGAATGAATATTTTGCTATATTTTATTATATCTTTTCGAAAAAAACACCACCGGCTTGACTATTATTTATAAATCTTCTTCAATATTGCTGAATTTATGAAAACTATTGAAATCCCTCATCTCTAAATCTTTGAAACAAATTTTACCTATATAATTCTGAGGTTCTGAACTTATTTCATTAAAAGAATCATTTCATCGAAAAAAAACCAAATAACTTAGTAATAATAAAATTGAAAAATTAGATATAGAAAGATATAATTCATGGATATATTTAAAAGCTTGCACGCCAGATGTTTTTCTTATCTCATTCAATCCAAGGTTATTTGAAAGTTAGCAAGTTTTTTGTGGTCCAATTGTAATTTATAACTCCAATTTGGTACTAAGAGCTTTTATGAGTTCACGATTTTTTGAGATCATGGACAATGCCGATAAACTTTTGAAATTATAAAGAAAATTTTTGCCAATTTTGGAGACAGTTGTTTTAACGCAACTTGATCTAATTTAATTTTTAAAGCCATTTGGCCAACTTTCTATGACAAATTTATGAAAAATTTTGAAATATTGTAGTTAATATAGAAAGTGGTTTCAACTTTCTAAAAACGCTTCAAAGTAAGCGAATGGTGCTCCTATCAAAATGACCTCCGATAAGGTTATTAAAATTTGATAATTCAACAAAAAAGAGCATCTTTCGTTTCGGAAGAATTTTTTGAATTAGGAATCCTTAAAAAATTTCCATTCTGCAGTTTTTTTATCTAACTGACGAGAAATCCAGGAAGAATGGAGGTAGAGCAAGCTGATAGTGTAGTGTAGGTTGTTTCTCTTATTTGCTCTATTTCTGGCAGAATAAGCTTATCCAAAAATATTTCCGGGTAGTATTTCCAATCTATTGCCAGTTGAATCTCTGGCGATTTATCTAGCTCTATTTATCTAGCTTACCAATGAAGACAACCTAACCAGAAGTGTTAAGCGCTTTTCAAAAAAAGTGCTTTTTTTATTCGATAGTCAGATCTTTTTTAATAATAAAAACATTAATTGAATAATTTTATTTACTTTTTTGCAATTTTTTATAAATAAATTCGTGTAATAATGGGTGAGAGAAAAAATAAATTTATTAATAAAAATGCAAATTTGAGATTTTTATTGATGCTCATAAAAGTGAAAGCGAAAGTATTAGAACAATTTGTCAGTGTATATATGCATGCAGATTTATAGAAAACTATACTGCATGATTGGATATGAAAAGAATAGCGATGAATTAGATGCTTTGCCACTGGCGAATTAATGAGAGGCTGGGAACTGACCAATGAAAGATATAGAAAAGTTGGACAATAGAAATTGACGAAGAATGATGGTAGGTGACCTTTTAATAATATTATTTACAGCAGTTCGTGAGGATCGCATGAGAGGCGGTCGAAATAAGTTCGGATCGTATTATAAGAGGGATCGAGCGCAACGATTACAACGGATAGCATTTCGAACCAATGGATCGCAAACATTTTTCCCGCAGCAAATCGCAGAACATCATGTATCAAGCAGGTAATTTTTATTAGAATAATTATTCGATTAATTTAGCAAATCATGAGAGCATGAAAACTGTAGCTGCGATTTACGATAGAATTTTATCATACCTTCAATTTGCTTTGGAAATTTTGTATTATTATTCATAAAATTTTACGTAATCTTACATGAATTAACTTCGAATTCAAAAAGTATTTAAAAGTGTAGGCGATTTTAATTTTTTAAAGAAAAATTGCTAAAACTTTATCAACCGCATTTGAAAAAAATTTTGATTTTTGATTTGGTCTAAATTTTTTACAGCACACCGACTGATTCATCGACACAAATTCAGTATTTTGATGCAACAAGTGGCCAAAAATTTAAAAATGATTATGATACACTACTGCAATCCCCAACTTTGTCAAGTAGTACTCAGTCTTCAGCCAGTAAGAAATAGCTTTAAAACCTATATAATTTTTTTTTCCTGATTAATCCATTCGTAAAATAAAACATTGTGTGAAGAATCGAAAAATCATAAGTTCCAGGTTATATGATGCATCGATCAGGATCCTATTTGCCAAATTGCGATAATTTAGCTGCTTTACTTGGTTCATCAATCGATGATCCACTTTTACGGTCCACATCATTTCCGATATATCCGTGTGTAAAACCAGAGCCATTCGAGAATTACAACGAAGCGAACTTTAGTCAATCTTCGTTACCAGATTATCCATCATTTTGTCCAACGTCTTCGTATGCAGCGATGACTGCAATGGCTCCAGTTTCTGTTTCTGGCTCGAACTCTGATCGTTCATCACCTCTTCTACCTATCTGTCCTCTGCCTACAGAAAAAACGATCGATAGTGTTTTTTACGCACCTAAACATATATCTATGTTAACTAGTTGTACAGAATCTCTTCCAGATATCAATCTTTTACTACATCTTTTGAACAAAGGTGATAAAACTAGAGATACTTTCCAGTTCTGCAAATCTGTTATCGAAGAAAATTTAAATCATATTGTTTTATGGGCAAAGAATGCACCATATTTCGACAAATTTCATGTAAATTTTTTTCTTCCATTTACTTTTTTAATTTTACTAAAAAATTTGGAATTATTTAAGAGAGAATGCTTTAAAGCTCTTTAAAAATTACAGGTAGATGACCAGATAGCACTTTTACATTCATCATGGGCCCCAATCCATGTTCTCGACTTCACGTTCCATATACTCCACAATCATGTACCCATATCGATTCAATTCGGCAATTCTACGTATCCTTTGCTCTAGTTTTTTTCTAAAATTAAGCACATTTTAGTCATTTTTCCATATCAATTAGAGAACAAATTATCCAAAATTGGTGATAATTTACCAGAAACCTCTTCATTCTTTTTTAATAATTGGCAATTTTCTTTTTAGCATATCATTGCTAAGATTGGTTTTAAGATAAGCGTATTTAATTTGGCATAAATAATATGTACGTAGTTTCCTTATGCGATTCATATCCAATTATGAATTAACGACCCCATTTCTGGTTCAGCTAATTCCACTAATATAAACTTTTGCAAACGAGCCACTGGCGATTAGGAATACAAATGAGCCATTAGTACTACCCAGGTGGGACTCTTGTCTTTTAATGCCAATCTGAATATGCACTCGACTATATTATCCTTTTTTAATTTGAACTGAACATCCACGACTAATTTATATAGCACCTTTCAGCCAAATTTTGATTTCAAAATTCTTGATTCCGCATTCTCGATTTCAAAAGCAAATAGTTCAATTAAATAAAATTTTAATGAAGAAATTAAATTGAAATGCTAAATCATAACATAACTATGAAGAGGAATTTCTCTGATTTAAATTTCTCTGATTTATTTTCATCCTAGTTTGGCTACCGCAGTGGTATGCATGATGGGTTTCGATTCGTATACGAGTAATTTTAATGAAATTTGTGGGAGGATGCAGGCCATGCAATTTGATCGCTGTGATTACGCCATATTTAAAGTGCTTACACTATATGATGATCAAGGTTCGTTAAACTAAAATAATTTTTATACGAATTCATGTAAGTTTTCCAAAATTTAGTAGATAATTTTATTATTTTGATCGATGAATGCACTGGTTCAATTCTATATCAATTTAAACAACGCAACTCTTGGCTCTTGTCTGAAATCTAGTCATTAAATATTAAATCAGGGTGATGGCGAATATAAGTGTGTAGTTGCTGGTTAATATGATTTCTGACAAAATAATCTTATTATAAATAGCAGCTAGTAGTGCTAACCAGAATGGTGAGTGCTATAAAAAATTGCAAACATTTTGCGGTAAACTGTTTTTAAATATTCTCAGTCATTTGATCATTGCCTAATGCAGTACTTGTAACAGAAAAACATTGTTTTCATTTATTATTATTATTAAAATAATGGATCAAATTAATGGGGCTCATCTTCCATATTTTTCAACTTGCTATTCAAATGGTCCTATATTAGTTCTATCAGATTCCACAAGATACTTAGAAGATAGGCTTATAGACTTCTTACATTAATTGTCAGGCAACCAGCCAAATTAGCAGTGATTGGAAGAGGGAGAAATAAAAGAAAAGACGATATTATAAGTAGCATACTTACTTTATGGCTCAAATTAAAACTTTTTACTTGAAGATGAAAGATGTGCAATAAATAATCGAGCATTAACGGCTCATGTTCGAACTGCGATTACAAATGCTTGGACATCATATCGCTGTATTTCAAATGCCGCTGATCACCTTTTATATCAAACGTATAATGAATTAAAGTTGGTTTATTTACTGAATTATTTATTCATTCTTATTTTCGTTCAGCGATAAACTTGACTAATTTTCAATTTAGATCTTTGTTTAAATTGAAAATTTCGATTCCGAGCGTTTTATTTAATTCCCTCTCCTCATCTGTCCTTAAAAAATTTGCTCATGGATATTGTACTTTCTATGGAAACAAAATAAAAACGAGATCACCGAATGGAATTGGCAAATTTTTAAATAAAATTCACTGTGTACGACTAATAAACCTCTGAGATCTTCATAACGATGAAAAATATTGAATAGTATATTAAATAGAGCCCAAAAATATGTTTCAAGTGCTTTTTAGGAAACATCCGAGTGCTATGGAATAAAATCTTATGGAGATATGACCTCTATAATTAGTGATCTGCCGACCTTTTTGCATTTTAAACCTGCAATTATCCTCTTAATGTGTGAATCGCACAAAATGTGTCCACTGCACCTTTTGACCCAGCTTCTTTATTTGTTTCTCTTTTATCTTTACATACTCCAACACCCAACAAATAATCTTATATTATGCATGGACCTTTCATTATAAATATCCAATTCAACTTTAAAAATATTAAATAAAAACAAAAATTCCGAAACCTTTCGAAATTGATTCGATAGAAGAATAAGGATAAAATTTCAACAAAAATAGCCCTATAAAGGAGTTTAGATATAAAAAAGTTATCAGCCATTAAGAGCAGCGAATAACTACACCTTGGGTGCAAATTTTACGAAAATTGAAATATTGAGAGTAATGGAAAGTGCGGAATGCGAATAAATTCGAAAAATTTTTATTCAAATTTTTTTCTCTTCAATTTCTTCATGAATTTTGCAAACCTATTGCAAATTTATTTATTCGCACATAGGATGTAATTATTTGCTTCTCTCAATTGTATTGTAATACTTTGGTTATAAAGAATAGAAATAGGTAACGCTGGTTATTCACCTGTATTTTATCGCAAACTGATCTCTCTGAAAATCCGAATAGTTGATGGAAATAGCCAAACCTGAAATGGTGAATACTGTTTGAAGAAGAAGAGTAGGGATGTATAAGAAACTATGAGACAAAAAAAGGTCTATATATAGCTTTTGTCTATATATATATCCATGTGAATATTATCATGAATATACTGAAATAATGTTATTTATAGTTATGTTATTTAATAATGTTATGTTATTTTTTTATTTATAGATTATTAGCCCGACAAGCAGCGCATCTATTGAGTAAATATTCAGCAGTCGGTATGGAGGAAAATTTATTGAAAGAGATGCTAACAAGGGAAAATTTTTTCCAATATCAGCAATAATTCCATAAGGATCTCATCGCTGATCGGGTCTGTGGATTCCGTCATGGAAACAAACCCTAATAAACCAAAATTCGTCGACAGTATCGAATTCATTCAGATTAATTGTGGCGAAATTCTTGGTATTATTACGTTGATAAAACGGGATATATAGCAGTTTTTCAAGTTTCATTGTTTTACCCATTTTATTACAGCCATTTTCACTTACTGCAGCGATATTCGATCAGGCATGTTTACTTATTGCTCTATTTTCTTTACTTTTTTTTAGAAATTTGCTATTTTTTCTTAGGAATAGGCCTTTATTCATTCTGTTTATGAATCCGGTAAATGTAGCCTGCTAAGCATCAGAAACCTACTGTATACGATTGTATACGATTGAATTGCAATTTAAAAGTTAGATTTAGAATTTTTCAAAATGTATATTCTTTATATCAAAATGGTGAAAAAATTGTTCATGAAATCTGGTAAACTCTATTATTAACTGCCTTTTCAGGCAATCGTTTTCCTTATTTGTTTGGCCTTTTAAATTCTTATTGATTTTGATAGTAATATTTCGTTTTGGTTGAGCATAATTTACTATTTTTGTTTCACCATTTAAAGCTGAACTGATGATATATCATTTCTCGCATCTTTACATGTCATTCGAGATTATTCTGCATTCCTAGGCGTATTTTTCAATTTTTTTAAAATGTATTTTCATCATCTGGTCTGGAAATATTTATTTGAGGAATTTTGAGTTGATTGCAGTTCGTCCAATCTTCCTGCCTTCATATATCTTGCCTTTTAAAATATGCCTTGTAATTATAGCAAAGATTTTGTCTTTTTTTGTTATCTTGCCTCATACCTGGTACATACTGTGAACATTCCATCATTTCTTGCAAATAATTGTTATCGTTTATCATCAGTACTAATTCAACTAAGCCTTTCGAGCTTTAATATTTTAGTAATATTTTAATAGCTTAAATATTTAGCATTTTAAATCATATTTACTCGCTGATGGAAATTTTCTAATGAGCAAAATTTTTTAAAACTGCTATTGGGATAGCATTCTTGAAATGCAGGATGCTTTTGATGATTTATGTAAAATTTATAAGGAATCGAGAGGTTTATAGGAACTGATTTATTTGTACAATATGAGACTTCTTGCGTTTATACAATTGCTGTCTTTATGGCCAAATTTTAATTTTAAAAATACATTTCTATACTTGATGCTTTACATATTTTTACTGCAAAAGTTTTTTTTCATAATGAAATTATTATGGTTTCAGCATATTTTCACTGCTTTTAAAAACGATTCAGAAAACATTCCAGTGTTTGTTTGTTCAATAAATTTTATCTTTTTATGAAAGTAATTTACTGAAAAAATATACAGAAAGAATTCTGATTTCCAGTTATTCTTTTTTCGGTTTAAATTGTTTCTTCATGTTAAATTTTAACTTAATAATACAATAGTAATTTAGAAATATGCAAATAATGCATAAATGTCCGAATAAAAATGTGATGGCTCGAATCGCAACACTCAAAATAAATTTATTTTTTGTCGATTTAACTTCTTTTTTGCACATCAAAATGATAAAGGCAAATAATATGCGTATTAAATTTTATATAAACGATTTCAAAAATATATTAGAAAAATGATACAAAAATGAAAGAGAAATCAAACCAGAAAAGATTTACATATTTCATTTTTTCAAAAAATTTGAGAAATCTTAACATAGTTTGGCTAGAAATTTCAAAGTAAATATCTTTCAACTTCACCACTTTTCATTTTTTTGCTGAAACTGGTTATATTCGAACGATTACAGCCATGTGAATTAAATCTATTCTGTCTAAATCGATTTTTCGAATCGAAACAGAATTTTTGTTTCCAACTGCAATGATTTAGTAGATCTACGTATGCTAAACGGAACTGCTCGTTGAGTAGTGCATATAAGCATGGATTCCACACAGTTGAACTGAAATTAGATCACAGTTATTCCAATTTTTCATCGAATAATGCGATTGGACTGGAGCGAAATTATTAAAAACATTCATTTGTTACCAGCTTTACTCAAGTGAAATTGATGAAACTATAATTAGGAATTTAAAGAGGAGAGTTTAAAAAGGAACATTTATATTTCCTGAAATAGTGATAATTTTAGAAAATAATGCTATTCTTTGAGTTTTTACGTAAATATGATATAAAATATGCAAATAATTAGAATCATTTACATATTTACTGGTGATTTACAAATTTCCTGTCATTTTATAATTTATAATCATATCTAGGTGATCAGAAGGAAAAAGAAACTAAGCAAAAATTTTATGCATCATGAAATTTATGAAGCGAATTACAACATATTGGGAGTTAGCACAATAAAATGCATCTACACTAGCATTTTCTCTTATGTTCAACTTTTCATTTGAAATTTTCGAGAATTTATAGTTAAGATTGGCAAAAAGATTTTTTTTGAGCAAATCTCTCTTCAGTTAGAGTGTCTAAGCTATATGCAAATATTCCGATGATTCGATAAACTTTTTAACAACGATTTTTCATTGAATTGCAAATTTATTTCTGATAGACGAATGCATAATCCTGGGATGCTACTCAAATAATGTTGATTTTGAGGTATTGAATACTCAATAATAATACAGAAAATTTTAGAGCCATTTGACGGTAGACATAAGCGAGTGGCCAACGCCAAATTTTTTAATGACAGGTTTATCTTGCCGGGAACAAAATCCCAACTCCTGATAAGTTGAATCATTATCCGATCGACTATCCTGTCATTTTAAAAAATAAATATATACATATATATATATATATTATATTGCATCTTATTTAATATTATTTCTACTATCAATTGCATCAATTGCATATTACATATTTATATATTGTATAAGTTGAAATTTTCTTTAAAAGCAAAAAATTTCGCATAAATAATGCGTGATACCTATTAAATAAATACTATTGACAAAAATTAACCTCATTGATATGCAGTGTGTGATAATTCCAAAAAGATAATCTTGCTGTGAAATAAATAAAGGAAGCCATCGATAATCTCTAAGAAAATTGAAGGCAACAGTTGGCATCCAACAGCATAAAAACACTCCAACCATTGCCATCAACATGCGATTCGTCCTCAAGCGCCTTTTCAATGCTGCATCTCTTTGTATTGAACCAATTTCAGATGATTGCTTCAGTAACATGCTCTAAAATTTATTTTGTTACTTATCATTAGATTAATGTATATTTAAAGCAATTTTAACTGAAAGGAAATATAATAAATTAAAATATAATAAATATGTAATAAATTTTACACCATTGATTTTTAAAACTTACTTTATTTAATTTAAGTGAAATCATAATATAACAGAAAGTTATAACTACAAATGGGGCAACAAATTGAAATATGAAAACAACGGTTCCTGAAAATGGCTTAAATAACAGATCTTTTTTGCATTTTTACAATCCTAATAACTGAAACTAATTGAAATTTCGAGTAGAAAGAAAAGAATCAGTTCGTTCTGATTAAGATGATTAGGGAGATAAGAATTAGAGATTTGTGAGAGGTACCATAAGTACTCCGCCCTGATTCATCAGAGCCCCAGTCTTCGGTACAAAATCGCCCACAAAAATCGCCATAATCAACCAGTTTTTGCTTTAAAAACATTGGAAGCGAAACTGCGGTTGCCATCAAAATATTTAACGCAATCATTTGTAAAGCATGAACTTTTTGTATAGGCCTATAAAAATACTCTCTAAAGAATTCCAAATATTCTTCAATATTTTTTATTTTTTAATTATTATTGAAACCATATTTGATATTTAATGTCTGCTGGCCATTTTTAAGAGAATTTTTCATTGGTAATCATAATCATTTATCACTTAGTTTTTTTATTTCCCACAGGGTTAGGCTTAATACAAGCAAAGCTGACCAATGTAAAATAATTATATAAAATCGCTTCTCCCGGCATGGATGAACTCGCGATTTAGAAAATTTAATAATATCGAAATATTATTAATTTTCCAATATTCTAGAATTTAATAATATTATTTTTCATTAAAGCTCTTCAAATATAAACGAATAGAAGAATTTTTTTCTGGTTTGTTGACTATATGATCATTGGAATTATTAAATGATGATGGAATCTCTCATATGTTAAATAAGCTTCCCTTAAATCTAATGAATGTATATATAAAATGCGGTAACGCAGTAATTTATTTCATTATTTCATTAAAAGAACAATCATATCACTTTAGACCATACCAACAAGACCATTTATCAATCTCATCATGTTTTCAACACTATTATCATAGAGGATTTACTTAAATATTACCTTTTTGTAGGATAAATAATGAGAATATAGCGATCAATAGCGATCGCTGTTAAGGTCATGGTCGAAAAACATAAACTAGCACCCTGAAACAGTAACTTGTTTAAAATTAATTATTTACGAAAAATAGGTTATAGAAGGCCTCAAAAAAATTCGAATATTTTTTCGCAATAAATAAAAGATTGTAAAATAAATAAATTCATTTCTATTAAAGAGATAAGGAAAATTTAAATTTTATTCAATGAGAACCTGATAATTTAATTAAACTAATTTCTCAGGTATCAACCGCTGATAGAAGTCTGTTATTAATAAATCCCTATGGCACTGGATACCCTATGAATTTTTCTTAAAGAGGGCAAAAATGTTCAATAGTCAATGGGACAAATTTACAAATTTAAACTAAACGATCTCCACTTGAGCTAACCACTTATTTTGAAATACTTTTTCAAATAATAACGTGATAAAAAAAAACTCAAAGTTTATTAGAATAGTGATATGAAATAGATCCATCGCTATAACAAATAAAAGAAGTTCATTCGATCCGAAAATTTTAAGAAAAAAAAAAAAGTTTGATAGGTTCAGTTTAAATTGAAGTATTAAGGAGATTAATGTATAATATTTTTCTCCAATTTTAATGATATTGCCACAAAAAATTGAGCAAAAATACTTGTATCATCATTATTATTATCATTATGGACCATATCACACCATTTCTGATTAAGCTCACTCCACTGGCTATTACTACGATAGAAATTTTTGCCACATAGTGGCAATGGAGAAATAGAGGTGGATAGTCAGCACTCGTGCAAATGACAAGCTTATTTGTGTCAGATTGCTGATATAAATATATATTTATAAGGTTTGTTATTTAACCAAATCATACCTGAATTAGAGGTACTAAATAACAAAGAAATTCGCCAAAAAGCCAAATTTTTGTGAACGCAGTGATAGGCGTAATTGTACCCGACACAATAGAAATTACGATATCTGTTATTGATAAACTAAGAATAAACATATTTCGCACTGACTGGAGTACTTTATGCTGAATAATTGATAAAACTACTAATGTATTACCCATAACGCCTAGTCTGAAAGGAAAATATATTATGTATATTTCGTTTTTTAAAATTTTTAAAAGTTGAAATGTGATATTTTTCAAAGAAAACATCATTTTATGCTTATTTTTTAGATGAAATCTCGAAAAATGCGATGCGGATTGACTTTGTGTTGTGATGTTTCGAGAATATACGAAAAACAATGAAGGGATAGAAATAAAGTATTTAGTTTGTCAAGATTTGTCAAGATTTATCACAGATTTATTAATATAAATACGATTAATAACTATGGAAATGAGCACATGATTAGAGCTGAAAACTTTGGATAGAGAACAAATCATCCATTCAAATCATTTTCATTCTTACTTTCATAAAGAGCCAAACAAACTTTGCTTCACACTGGATATTTGTTTTATAATAAAAAAAACTATAGCTGATGGTAAGTACAGTGTAATGCCTCGATAGAATTGACTAGTCTTTTGGTACTTGTTAGATTAACGACTTTTTCATTAGAATTTCTATTTGCTATTTGAAAAAAAAAGAGACCAACATTATAATTAAAGAGTAGACGACAGCAAAAGCGCTCATCGTGAAAGACAATGAAGTTAGATCGGAATGGTTTTGCCATAAATATTCCTTAATATCGATGCAATTTGATTCATTCACCATTATTCCAACATTGATAAACTAAAATACTTTCTTTTCCTGAATTCTTTATATTTATATAATTTTGTTCTTTATATTTACTGCATATACTGCATATTCAAAATTCAAAATATTCAAAATTAAAATATGATATACAAAATAAAATTTTAAAAAATAAAAACAAAAGAAACCACCCACAATTTCAATACCTTCAAATTAGAGCGTCAATTCAGGAGTAATTTCGCGCCACTATTTGCGACAAGCTGTTAGCCACATATTTGTCCAGGAATCCAGAGAATAGCAGGCATTTTCCAATATAGCAAGAAGCATTCAACTAATTTATCTTAATAAAATATTAATTTTTTTATATACATTTTCAATCAGAATCATTGCAATTTACCATTTCTAAAATTTTTTTTGCCTTAGAAAGAGAAAAAAATGGATTAAGTTAATGACAAAATGAATATATAATTAAATGACACAAAACTAACATAAACGCTTGTCAAAAACAAGAAATAATTAAAAAATAGAAAAAATGAAAAATTTTCTAATAAGCTTATTAAATAGTTCCAAGAAAATGCCTTGATGCGATCGTTTTTCGTTCAAATGCGTTTAACCATGATAGTCGCCACCATAATTTTTGGCAAATCATCTGAATACAACCAATTAAATTTTTTTCTATTTTTTTCATACAATAGCATCGGATTTAACATCAATTCTTCTAGAAGATTTGGCGACACTATATTCTTTCTTCAGCACCCTTAGCGACATGTAATTAATATGCTTATAGACAATCAAAATTAGAAGTTATAATGAAAGTTCCCTTTCAGCATATAGCTCCCAAATAAAGCACTCTAACTACAAAGATAAGTGGGCTCTGGTCTTCTGGTCAATTCATTCAATGATCATTTTAATTCTTTGTACATCTCCAAACATTTCAAATTCAAAAAAAAATTGCCGGAAGTTCGTAAGAGACCTAATTAATTAAGAAACGTTCTATACTAAGCTATTAGGCCATCAATTTGAATATAACATTTGAAGATATGAAAGTAAATTTGATTGCAATGATCTTCTTTTCTTATTTAGAAGCTGAAAACCGATAAAAAACAGGAAAAAGGATCTCCAGGCTGAATTCTTCAAGGCTGTGTTCTTTTAGTTTTTATCCATAGTATTGAATAATAATTCCAATTTATTGATTATTATTTCATTGAATTTTTGCTTTCACCAAAATGTTATAGCAAAAATAGAAGGAAAATGCGTTGAAGCGAAATAATTTTTTAAGCAAATAAATAATTGCTAAAGATAGAAATTTTTTCTAGCGTGTCTAGAAATCAAAATGAAAAAAAAACTCGGATCAATTCTTCTGATCGCAGCCTGGATTTTCGAAAAACAAAACATTTTTCTCATAGTTACTTAATATTTGTTTTAAAATTAATTCATATACATGAATACATAAATGGTCGAATGGTATTATTGCTTCTATTATTAAAGTAATAGGTTCGATTTCCATCTCTCGTCTGAATGGGGTGTAATAAAAGCGGATTGCTAGCTGCCAGTGTATTTTGCTCGTTGTAGGCCCAATGAACTGATTTAATCGTGCTAATTGAATAATGAAATTAATTGAGAAACTTATTTTATAGACACAAATAGATGAAAATAAACAAACCTAATAAAGAATCTCAAATGGCTCTTAGCGATAACCATAGTAAATTTATTCTCACTTATAATTCTTTTATATAAAACATATCCTAAAATTTTCGTTTATGCATAAATATATATATGTATATATGTATATATATAGACTCCCTTTCTCAATCCCTTTGAGTAGCATGGGTCATACTCAATATTCTCTATCAAGGGTTTGAAAGAGTGATAGCTGTGTCTTCGTGGCAATATCTTTTGGTCCGAGGTCTGCTTTGCTCCTGGGATCTGTTGAAGCTTTTATAGTTCACAAGTCATAATCCTAGTGCTCTATATATATATATATATATATAATGTGCATATGCATAGTTAACACTTTTTTTTCTAGATAATTCAATACATAGAATAATTTTGATTATTATTTATTTCTTTTGTCACCACTCATGATCAGTAACCATTCATTAATAGGCAAAATTTAGAGCTTTATTCACGATCAATAGAGGGAAAATAATAAATGTAAAATGAGCAAAACGTATAGCAGTAAAGTTTAGAATAATTATTAAAAAAAGAATGAAAATAACGCAAAGTAATAATTCCTTGTTTAAAGATGATTAAAATAATATTTTTAAGGCAATTAAAGGACATTACATAATTAAATAATTAAATAATTAAAATAATTGAATAACTTTATTTAAATGTCATTCATGAAGGAAATACTACTTCAGTTGTCATCAGTTATATAAATGAATGATTCACATAGTTTAGTTTTATATATATATTTAATTATATATACTTCGCAAAAATATTCAAAATTCTACTACGTATTCCAACTTAATTCATCAATAATTAAGAAATCATGTAGAAATGAAAAAAAAGTGCTAATTATTGGGAAATAAATGGTAAATGGCAATCTTCCAAAGAACTGGTAATTTATGGAAATGAAAAGCGATATGTGGAAAAACACCAATAATCGCGAAAAGCCGGAAAGAAGTGTGGAAAACAACAGCAAAAGAGCAAGAAGAAAATCCAAATGGAAAATAATTAATATTTTTGAATGTGCATTAATCTTCAATAAAAAAAAAGGGAAGAACGCAACATGATTTTAAGGCAACAAGAAGCTGGCAGGTGATATTTTCGTATAAATATCCACTGGATTTAATGGAAATGTTATTAATATTTTAACTTATATAGTAAATATAAAATGCAAACTTGCAAAAACTATGGGTATTAATACTTGCAATATTAAGATTAGTTTTTTATGTTGAGAGGAAAAGGTTCAATCACCGATAAGATCAATTCGATTGCATCGCCTAAACAACTCAATCACCTTAAGGAGAATTATGAAAATGTACTGCTTACAAATCATAAAAATTATAGTAAAATAGTAAAAAGCAGTATCCTTATCGTGAAATATTTGCAATATTTAGCACCATAATTGAATATAGCTTCATTTTTCACCTCAGATAACGAAATGTTATGTGGAACAAGCGAAAAGGAGCGATATCAATGGGCTTACAAATATATCAAAAATTAGAAAAAAAAATTTAAAGGTAAAAGATGATTTAAAAATTGAAATGATCCAATATGCTCAAATTTTGTGAGCTTAAAATCGTTCATTTTTTATCTATGTCTCAATCTAAACTTTATTATTAGTGCTAAAGGCCCATTTGTATTTCCATAATTATACGGCTGTCTAGCTAAGATTGTCTCAAACACAATAAGCTTAAGCAATAATGATTAATACTGCAGAAAAAATTCAAACGTTGAAATAAAATATATTAATTCTGATTTATCAAGACAAGTTTTTACAAACAAAAGGTTCATGGCGTATGACCAATGTTAAGAAATAAAGAATTAGTTTTAACATTCTACGATATTAATGTAGGAAAGTTTCACAAATACTAATTAATCGACCATTTATTCGAAAAATGTTCGATTTTTCTTAAAGAATAACGATTAACGATTAATAACGTGCGAATAACGATTTTTTTTTACTTTTTTTATTCAATTTTTTTGCAAAATTTTTTATTCCTTTTTCTGGTAAAAATTTGTAATTTCCGCCAGACTCTCATAGAAATTCATGGCTAAATTTATTAAATGAAATTTATTAAAAAATTTATTAAATGAAAATGAAAATTTTATAAATCATTTATAGCAAATTTAAGTGCTAGTTGCACATATGCTTCGGCTTAATCACTTAGTTGATATAATGGTTAGAAAATCAGAAAATCTGAAGATATTACTGTCGTCAATACCACTGGAAACTTCCAAAAATAATAGAAATACTTTATTTAAAGTATAAAAATAATTCTGATATAAAATAATTTCAAGTTTTGCAATAATAGATTCCATTATAAAATGTTATATATATATATATATATATGGTATATTCTATTATATTTTATATTTATATGCGGGACTTTTAATGACAGGCTTTCTGCTGCCTGGACTAGGAATTCTAATCGTTGTTAGAACTATTGTCCTTTTTTTCTTACCCTGCATCTATTTGTTAAATTGATAATAAAAATATGTATATATATATATATACATATAAATTAATAATTATTAAATTAATATATATCAAATGGTCAATAATAAAGATATTTACAAATAAAAGTACTGCAATAAATTTCAGTTTTAAAAAATATAAATTAATAAATGGCTTAAAGATAGTTTTGATAATTTTTAATCTGTTTCCTCAGCAATAAATCATCGGCCCATGAGGCTCATTAGGAAAAAAGGAAGATTGAAAATATAAATCTTAAATTATTAATCGACATTAAATTTAAGTTTAAAAGATATTTGCGAAAAAAACTCCTCAGTTAAGGAAGTAATTTAAATTTTAAAATTTATTTTGAAACGCTCTTATCGAGAATTATAGCTTCCAAACGTATATATAGTAAATAAATCCATCCCATTTTTGGAAAAAATTTGATTTCATAAATTACCTAATTTATCTTTTTTTGCAATGGAAATAAGGCCGATTAAATTTTTAGAGCGCATAAAGTTCAAATTGATTTTGAAATTACTTCCTGATGAATGGAAATTTTTTCGAAAATCATCGTCTTTGTTAATATTGAAAATTTTGCTGGGGTGATTGAATTGAACAAAAATAATAATAACAATAAGCGTGTTGTGTAATATTATATATTCTAAAACACCTTTGTATTAGTTTATACATTATTTTAATTCCAAAATTTATTATGCCATGAAAATCCTTGGTCTACTTCGGAGAGCAATGCTTGAGTCTTAGTTGATTGATGCCATTTTTTTTGGATTTCCTGGTTTCCCTGTTTTAAAATTAAAATATATTATTAAATTAAAAATTATAAAAATGTATAGCTTATTGACATTTGGTTGGTACCATCATCAACTATATTTTA